ATTATGAAGCTCTTATGATGGAGATTTTCCATCAATTTCTGCAGAATAATTACGCCTTTTTGTTTACTTTCAGCACCAAAAACTTTCGAATTGTTGCATTCAAAACATCTATAAAATTTTTTTTGAGGGGGCAGGTGATAATTTTCAATTCTATGGGGAGCCGGGCCCCCCTGGACTCCCCTTTCGTACGTCTATGGCAAGGGAGTTAAGCCATTAAAGTCGAGGATGCCCAGAAAGGAGCCTCTTAGCATCCGACAACGGAAGAAAATGAAACACAGTTACTAAAAATATCTTTCTTCATATACTCAAAATCTTGAAAATCTCTAAAAAAGTAAGAACAATTTTATAGTGCCCTAGCGTGTTTTTGAAACTTTATTCACCTTTTGCGGAATTTTCAGGGTAATTTTTTCACTTTTACTTACGAGACAAGGGTTACACATGAATTCTTAGTGGTTTGTCACCTGCATCACGGGCCCCTCCAGGGCCCGGGCCCCGGTACCAGGGACCCAGTATCCCCCCCTTGTGGCGGGCCTGGATGTCTGTCACACAGAAACAACAACATCAACAAATTGATCAATTAAAAAGAAAATGAGATTGGTTTGTGAATAATTTCTTAATCTATTTTCATTTTGGACCGATGGAGATAACAATTTACTCTTGATAAACCACAATTAGGTAATATTTTCATTATTCTTGTTCACATTCGAGGTACTGCCATCTTGGTGCACTCGTTTCGGCCTCCATGAGCGAGAACCAATCAGAATTGGATTTTTTTTTAGGCCACTTTCAGCCCAACCAAAAGTGAGTTGTCTTAACTCTGAGTATAAAGGGACTCTAGTTCTAGCAATGATTATGGAAGAAAGTAAGCGTGTGTTTTTTTAATACGTGGGCACACTTGACACGAGGGCCTTAACTTACCTTTTAACGAACAACAATTTCCCGAAAAATGGAGATTCTTCGTGGCTTACTAAAAATGTGATTTTGAGGAAATTCGATTTTTCCAAAAATTAGTGAGTGATGATAAAAAAGTAGGAGCATTTTTTACTCAACCTTGGAGGAAAAAAGTGGCCCTATGATCAGGTGCTATTGAGTATGATACCGGTCAGTTTTAACGAATGGTGGTAAATGGGTGAATTATTATGTCATTTGACCAGGAAATCCTCTTGGTCCTCAACAAAATGTAGACAGTTGTAGGCACATGGAGTATATTTTTCGTTAAATCCAAAAAGGGCCTGGTTTCTTCTCAATTATGCACCAATACTTCGGTAAATGTCGATCGGTTTGAAAATGTGTGAATGTGAAGTATGAAAGGGCTAAAAATTGTACAAAATTCTCTTGCTGTAAAATATCCGGCATTATCACCTTGTTTTTTTTAGATTAGTGCGATGGTTGGACGAATACGTCACTTCTAATTTCTCATCAAGTCTCGTTGGCAAGCTAAGCAATTAAAGGAAAATTTGCAACAGTTCCTTGCGGGAAATAGAATCGTTGAATAAGTGAGGGGTTCACATGTGTACGTCTTCCGAAGAATCTACTTCTAACCAAACATGAACATGATACTCAAAGTGTCATACTCTGCTCTGAAGCGGCGCCAGATCGTGGCATTTTAAACGTCCCATCGAAAAATACAGGGTGATCCAGGGTTAAACGGCCAGACTGGAGGAGCCAAGATACCCCTAAACCCCCAGCAACCAAAAACTATGATAACAAAAAAAAATAATTGTAAATACAAATAAATTGATGGGAAAGAGATTAAAATTATTAACCTAACCAAAAATTTAAAACCGAAGTATCAAGGATAATTAATTTCTACTCGTTTAATGGACCACTAGACAAGGTACGAATTTCAGCACTCTGATACATGTTATCTAACCAAAATTTCACGTAAAACACGATACGCACAGTGAAAATTACCGAAATTAACTCCTTACGAAGATATTTAATGATTCTTGATGCGTGAATTGAAACCACCCGCTTATGAAAACTCAATGCTCTACGTGATTCACATCGCGCGCTAAACGTTATCAAAAACGTCTCAGCGATATAAAAATCTGGCAACCTAAATCTTGACGCTTTGGCTCAGCTACCTATAGCAAATTACTTACAGTTTGAACGACACATGGTGGGACATGAGCATTACTCGACCGAGAAGCTTGCTGAAACCGTCGTAGTGCGCGATTTGACTTACGTAGAGCTTTGAGTTTCTTGTGAGCGGGCAGTTCAAATTCCTCGTAACCAATGTGAAATAAACACGTTAATATCTTCACTAAGAGTTGGTTTCAGTAAATTCTGTTGCGCAAATCGTGCTCTACGTGAAATTTTTATTCAGAAACATGTATTAGAATGCTAAAATTCGTACCCTGTCTAGTGGTCCATTGTAAATCCATAAAATTGAGATGTTTTTTCTTTAAATTGAGATTGCGATTTTCTAGAGCATTTATACATTCAGAGCATCACAGGACAGGAGAGTACCAATTTGTATGACGTTTGGTTCACAATCATCGCCAAAATTTACGATTTTGGAAGGAGGGCGGAAACGATTACTTTCGATTTACACTCGGAGGAAGTACGATTTCAAGTAAGTTGGCTGTTTTACATACATACATAAAGCCGTTTTTATAGCGCCGCCTCGCGCTCTGCGACGCCCAATCGCCATTGCCCCCTATCCTCCCAGAGATCATCAGGCAATTGGCACCTTCTGATCTCCTCCACCCCTTGTCGCCAACCTTTCACAGGACGTCCACGCCGTCGCCTTCCGGGAGGAACCCAATCGAAGACCTGCTTGGGCAACCGATCGTCTGCCATCCTTCGCTCATGTCCATACCAGACCAACTGCTTGGACCTGATATCGTGCACGATGTCCTTCTCCACACTCATTATCTCGCGTACCTTTTCATTGAGGATACGCTCTCTTCTCGAAATCCCAGCAGACCTTCGCCAGAAGTCCATCTCGGTTGCCCTAAGCATGTCTTCAGTTCTTTTCTTGAGTTGCCAGACCTCACTCCCGTAAGTTACGATACTCTTCACGATGACGTTGTAAATTTTTCTTTTGGTCTCCTTGGAGATACTCTGGT